GTTTTTTTTTAACAACATTCTGTACCATATGAAATAACAAATATGAAATTTAAAGAATATTAACTTCCAATTCTCAAACTGGAGCCATGGGAGTAGTGAACTAGTGAAAATTTCATTACATTAGTTCCTTACTGTCTAAATGAATTACACAGAAACAGTGTCAGTCAGCCAGGAGCAAGTTTAGTTAAGCTTTGATGATATGTTTTATCAGTGAAATTCACATTAAAGTTACTGGTGTTTTGTTGGACTTTTTTGTTTGTTTTGTGCAGCTTTTCATAACTATCATTTCATGTGCTTTTCTTCTTTTTTTTAAATTTTATTTGTGAGATAGTTACTTTTAGTATGGAATAATATTTTGATAAATCAGAGGATCTTTTACTGTATAGGCACTCACTACTATCTGAGAAAGACTTTTGGAGACCCAGTACAGAGTCCTTATATCTAGAAACAGAGCTAATTCAATTAAATTATAAATACATCCCTGTAGAGATTTTTAGGAATATCAGGTAAAAGAAAGAGAAGTGAGGTAGTGTTGGACATGTGGGAGGAAGATGAGGATGGGAGTTGGACAGGTGGTCATGCAGACTTTTATTAGAATTTTTTCTGTGCTATGAAAAATGGATTGTACTCTTGCCTTAAAGGATTAACCTTTATACATATGTGTGTGTGTGTGTGTAGGGGCGCGTCTGTAAAGCCAGCATAATGTTAAAGTTGAATACATTTATCCATGGTAAGCTGTCACTAATATTTTAAAAAAAAAACAACTAATTGAGGGATGTTTTCTGGATTTTCAGGAAATTAACAACTTCCCCTTTATAGATGTACATAGTGCATTGAGGGGAACTAGACTAACCCAACAAACACTATTGATCCTAATGCAAAAATTCCACATAAATTTGTAGCTTGTCTCCGTGAGCATCCTTGTCTTCATTTCCATTCAGTTTAATCCTCCATTTTTTTCATGGATATACTTTCTGGAAATCTGTTTTGGTTCTTTAAATGATTACTGCCAGTAAAACTTATAATTTTCTGTCATTACCTCTAGAAACATAGAGATTGTATTGTGAAACATAATTGCCTCATTTTGCAATTTGTGTTATGATGGTTGAGCACAACTAGAGCAGATTTAAATATTCCCCTGATCAATATGGCTAGGTATTGCAACTGAAGTTCTTTGTGTACAGATAAATAAATAGATAAATGAATTCCCCAAATGACCAATATCTGTATGCACATAAATAGATAAATGAATGCCACAACTTCTTGAAGAGTAATCTTTGCCCTTAGTAAGCCACATGAACAAAAAGTAGTGTTTAAAGGAATACCCCTTCAGTGTTGAATCAGGTAGTGAGAACTACTATTAGCCTGAGTCAATAGTAGTCAGTCTTGCACTTATGTCTACCTACCAAAATATTTAAGCGCTCCCTAAAACATTGGGAATAGCTAAATTCTTTCCCTTATTAAAGGAAAAATCCAGACTAACAGAACTTAAGTAAGAAAACCTCTTTCATTCCGGGTAAAGTTCTCTTCCTCCAACCTCTTTCAAGAAATTCAATACTTACAGATCTGAGTGTGAACTGCTATTAAAGGTGCAAAGCAATAGAGAGTTAGGCTCTTTAGCCTTCCTTAAAGCATGTCGCTCAAATAAGCAGAAGCCACTGTCTATATTAAGTCAAAATTTACCCTACATTGCAGTAGCAACATCATGTGATCCTGAAAGCCAAAAGGAGGGCATGTGATAGGGAATTTTGAAAGGAGTGCTAGCCTGGCCATGCCAGCTGATAAGCTCTGCTTAGAATACAGCATTCACACATGGTGTCAATGGCAATTACTGTGTGCAGTCTTGTGCTGTGTAATGATCCAAGGACAGGATTGGAAATTTGGGGTATGTTTGTTTGGAAAAAAAAAAAACCAAACCAAAACCCTCTTGGACAAAATTAAATATTTACTTAGTTGTCAGTTTCACGGTGTAAAGAATGTTTTCATATAATGTGTAGGAATGAAAATGCTTTACTTTAAAAAATATAACTAGATGAATAGACTTTAATTGTAAGATCAGTGTGAAATGTTTTTTCCCTTGTGGCTCCAAGAACTATTTTTTGGATATATGCTGTTATTCTGAGGGGTGTAAAAGTAAGAGCCAGCTTCACATACCCTTGTTTGGTTTTTGTGGGTTAGTGTTTTGGTTTCCTGCTCTCCCCACCCCCCCCTCCCCCCATATTTATCACAGTCAGAATGCAGGTGACTTTTCTGTGTGTCCCATTTAAGGTTTCATGTGCTGCTAAGCCAGGACTGTGTTTGGCAGTGTTCGAGGCCACGTTGGACAGAGCCTTGGGTGACATGGTTTAGTGTGGTGTCCCTGCCTGTGGCAGGGGGCTTGGAACTAAATGATGTTAAGGTCCTTTCCAGCCCTAACTATTCTATGATTCTATGACTGTGAGCTTTCTGGAAGCAAGTCTGCAGGGACTGCCAGTGCCAGGCAAGAGAAAGGGGTGCACTCCCCAGGCCAGGGAAGCTGTAGCTGGGCTGCTCTTGTGCGGGATGGTGGTGACCTGCATTTCAGGCACTCAGCCATGCTTTTCTGCTCCTGGACCTTCCACAGGTGCCCTGTGATGCTGCCTGTGGCTGTACCACCTTGTGAACTGGCATGGAAAGTCCTGTAGTTAGCTTAGGGTTTTAGAGCACCAGTTTAAAAATGACCTTTTGATCTTATCTCTTCAAAGAACTTTTGTTTTTCTATGCTTTTACATTTGTAAAAAGGAATCTAATTTCTAAAAGGAATGGATAATTTGTTGGTATGAATGTCCATCAGCTGGGAAAAAAAACAGGAGCTTTGCTGCCTTTGGCATTATATACTGAATTGGGGTGTTGAAAGATTTAACTACTGTAAGCTGTCTACATGGAAAAAGGTGTCACTTTCAGAGTCAGATTTAGCCCAATTTAGGTTCTGAATTTCCTTCTAGAGGCTCCCATTTTTCTTCTCTGGCTGTATAGTAACTAGGTTTGACACTCAGGACTCACTTGGTGCCTGTAGCTAAGTGGGAAGAACCAGGGTTAATGTGTCTAACACAACTGTCCTCCTCCACTACCTTACTTCAAGGAAGAAGCACATATAGGCTTACAAGTTTCAGGTCAAGCATTTTCACACAGGTTATGATATGTCTTTGAAAGGCTGTGCACCACTTGGGGAGGACACAAAATGTGCAGTGTGAGGTGAGCTGAAGGTTTGGATGATTCTTGATCTTTTCTTTTTTCTGTTTGAAACCACTCAGTCTGAATTTGCCTGCCAAGGGATGCAGCCTAAGAGGTTATGATTTAAAGCTATCCCATAAAATTGTCTTTCCTTCAGACTGCAGCTTAGACACACTGGGTGGCTTTAATACCCTTCAGTCCCTCAGAAAGAAATCCAAGGCAACAGTCTAGAGGGTCTGTGGGTCTGCTTCGGTGACTTCTTGCAAGGCTACAGATGCCTCCCAGCATTTTCTATTAAGCCTCAAAATCTTTGGCTTCTATAAGGATATATTTATTTTCTGTTTTCATGCCACACCAGTTGGTCTGTTGTTAATGCAATGAATTTCACCTTCTGCAAAGTTAAAAATTCATGTTCCTAAAATTGATGGGAAATCAGCAAAGAACTAAAGTGAGCCAAAGCTACAGTACTAGTCAACCTTAACAATTATAATAACTCCATGGTCATTTCACTCACAGCTTGACAGAGAAAATGGCAAGAAAACATTTATTTTTTTTTTTCTTGAATGTTTAAAGTGTAGGGCCAGGGTCACTTCTGTGGTTGACACATTGGAAGGTGTGAGCCCTGTTGACCAAGTACAGCCACATTCATTATTTGTAGCCCCCTCTACCCTGCAACGGACTGAGAGCAGTCCTGTGCAGGCTGGAGAATGAGTTGGCCCAGCTGTGCAGCCAGTGCAGCCAACGTACACTGGAGATGTGCTGATGTGACTTGCAGATGCTGCTGGTGGCAGTGGTAAGGAGCTGGGATGTAAAGATGCTCTCTGTGGAGGAGGCATCTGTGGGAACAAATACAGTCAGTGGTGCCACTGCCTGTCCTTCTCCACAGTGAACTCTTGGCAGGAAATAACCATCATAAGCTCTACCACTGTTACGATTTCAGGATCAGCTAAGCCCGTGATTTTCAAATTATTTACTGTGGTGTAAAACAAGAGGTTCTGGTTTTGTGGCCTTTTCAAGATATATAAAGCACATAGTTGACTTGATTGCCTTTGCAATGTAAGGGCAGTAGATGCAAGCTCTCTCCCTAGATAGATTAGGAGTCTGGGATATGGAAAGGTCTGCAAAGAAGCTATAGACAGTGCAGAGACTGGAAAGAAGAGCAGCCTGTCCTTGAGATCTCCTTATATATTATCCAAAATTATTCTTGGTGCAGAAACTTGCATTCCTAAATGTGCTAATCCCTTCCATGAAGTTTCTCCTTTTTTTCATTTCCTAATACAGATAACCTCAAAAGACTTCCTTGAGTCATTATCAGGATTAGTCTGTAGAAATTATCTACTTTCCTTATGGAAAAAGTACTTGCTTGTAATATTGTTCTCAGGTGTAAGGGATGTATTTCCTAAAGGTAGTTACGTTTTCCATTTGTCATTTTGTTCTGAATATGTAGTGAGTTTCTGTTCTGTTAAACCAAAACTTTTCTATATAAACTTATTTTCAAGGCTGTTTTTAACTTGGAAGCCTATTGGGACAACCTTTTTTTAAATGAGGAACTAAGTATGCAGTGTGTTATTATTGCCAAGATAGATGGTACTGTGTTAAGCTGTTTTCTTTTGTTTCAGATGATGTGTAAAATGATACCATTGCTGTTACAAAACATAAAATAAGAACATTTGGCATAGACAAAGCATGTGCATCTGTAACTTTTTTCTTCTATTGTCTTTTTAAAAATATCCAATAACGAAAAGAATATATAAAATGTCTGGACAAATACATGATTTTTTAAAAAAAAACTTTGTCTCCCTTCACAGGAAATCACTGATAATGAAATATTAGAGTTGGTGCATAGTGCTCTGGGGAGGATGACAGTTATCCGGCAAATTTTCCCTCTCTCAAGGGACAACAATCAGAGATGCATGAGGAACAATCACCGAATATCATCGCTGCTGTGTGACCCACAAGAAGGCTATCTTCAAATGCTGCAGGTCAGTATCTGTGCCCAGCAAAAAAGTCCATCTTAGGAATTCAACATGAGAGAGTTTTTCTGTGACTATATTACATCAGAGGAAGAATAAAATGATTACAGATAAATCTGAGCATGTGATCTTTGGTCAACTTTTCCTGACTTAATTATTTTTTTTTTATTTCCCAAGATTGAGTGCTTTAGATGTGATGTCCAGGAAGTGCTAGCAAGCGGTTGTGCTGATTCAGAGCTGATATTGTGTATTTCATTCCCTTAAGAATCTTTTGTGTGAAAAAAATAAAAGCTTGTGCTATCATAGGCTTGTGGAGTTACTGCATGCTTATTATATTTATGCCTATTAGACATCTGTTGTGAAAAAGTTCATCTGGGAGGATAACAGAACTCTGATAGGTATTGGGCTGTGCAGCATTTCATACTTGGTTAAATGGACTGAATCCAGCTGATGTATTCAATCTGTCCCATTTCAATAGTCTCAGAAATCTCAAGCAGCTGATAATTGTTAGAGTGTGTAAAATATGCACTACTAGATCAAGTTCCAGATTTTGCTAACAGATTTGACTCTGGTGTAAGCAACATCTCAAAATTTCTTGGCAATTTATCACAGATATCAGAATTTTTCTGCAGTAATTTAAATGTAATTTTAGGTGCTATTTCCAAAGGTAGTTCAATAATTTAGAACCATAGGTTTTGGGCTTATGATGGCTCTCCACGTGTTTCTGATTTACTTTGGACACAGTTAAGAATCTCATTTGTATCACTGTTGAAGCTGTTAGCTAAAACTGAAAACTTTAGAGAGACTCAAAATATAATCTTCATTATAACCCTTTTATTGCAGATTTAGTCTTAACCTGAGATAGACTGAGGACACAAGTGGCTGAAGCTCCGAGCTGGCAAGAGTGGGTATTGTAAGACTAGAATGGGCTTGTTTAGCTTGTTGGCAGTCTGGACTGCTGCAGCTTGGTCAGGAAGGCAGTGTGGAGTGAGAGGTCCTTACAGAGGGAACTCATGCAGGCTTGGAAGAGTTTCTGAAGAGCAAGGTGTGAGGCTTACGGAAAACGAAAAGTAGGGAGATTCTCAGGAAAAGTGGGTAGGTCAAGAATCCCCAAGGAACATGGATGGGGATCTTTGTTTTACTTATTTATGCTGTATTAAAATGTTGTAACTACTGATTGAAGTCCTCTAAGAGATGGATAGGGATGTTTCCTTCTTGAAGACAACCTCTTGCAACACAGATTCTGTCATAGCTATGGCAAAGTTTGGGAAATGCCAGTTGTATGCACTGTAGTTCTGAGTGCTGGTCTATTTTTCTGCACAGGGGAAAGTCTATGCCTTGTCTTGGCTAAGGAAGAAAAGACACTCTTGATCTTTGTCTGTGGTATGCTGTAATGAGAGCAGGGCAATTTTGGATGATTAAGACAATTTCCAGTATGATGAAAAAATTAACTATCCTGCACACTGTCCTGCACCAACAAATCACTCATCGGGGAGCAGCAGGATTTTGAGTTTTGTTGTCTATGCTGGTTTATGCATAATCTAATTCAGAGTCTCTTCTGAAGGGTTCTGAGATCCCTTGCCCTCTCAGCAAGCTCTTATTTGCTAAAACAGTAACTGTTTTTCTAGTGTGAACAGCCTCGGGCCCTATTACTAAATTTCACTGACAAGGGCCCTTTGGGAAGGACCCTTTTCCTGCCGATTCCCAAATATGGGTTTGGAGAAGCAAAACATTCTCAGTTCTTACCTTCCAGAAATAATATACTAGCTTAGAAACTGTCTTTAAGAGAATGGAACAGTAATGTTATGCTTTGCCCTTTAGTTACTTCTCTATGAACTTAGAAATGAGAGAGATATAAAGAAGTGTGAAAGGTATAAAGTTTACCTTTTGGAAGTTGATACCATGACTGTCATGTTCAGCCATACTAGAATGAAATGAAGGGTGAAGGGCACATGTGAGATCTCTCAAATTAGCTGCCCCCAGTACATCTTGTGTTAAGTTTATACAGATTGAATATATGATGCTTTTAGCATGTGCAGATATATCCGAAGCATTCTGTAGCTGCATCTTTTTCACAGGCTTTGCCAAAACACCTTTTGTGCATACAAGCTCATATTAATTTCCATTCATGATTGGCATGTTATTAATGGTCCTGCAATTCAGGTACTTCCAATATTGTGTTTCCTTTTTATTGCTTAAAAAATAGTTTTGACCTTTTGCTGTACAGAAGCACATCACTAAATTACCCTTATTGCCAGAGGCTGCAGTAGCTCCCAGTTCCATGTCAGGCTGCATGAATCCACCAGAGGCAGTGACCGCCTGCCAGCACCAAGTCTCTGCATTGCTTTGAAGCAGTTTGATTAACACCACAGTTTGGAAATCCCTGGCTCATTCTCCTTTGGGCAATCTCATATTAATAATTCTTTGTTGTCAAGGTAACTTACCAGCCATTGTTGGTTAATTATTTATTTAATGACTTTGAAGAATAATAAACTAATCTCTGTCAGCCTCTAACTGTAGGGTTTTTATCGGGGAGAATTTAGCATTTTTGTCAAGCTAGCAAAAGAAAGAAACATTTACATCATGGATTATTAACTTTATTCTGGCTAAATTAATGAATTATTTTTTTTTTGGAACGATCTTACTCTCAGTGTCTTTAGTACCATATCCTGCAAAGTTGTTTTTCAGTGGGTGATCATCCCAGTTTGGCATTCTGACAAGGCTTTTAAAGATCAGGCTGTTCTGCAAGCTCATCCAAAAACTCATCTGTTCTGAGTGCTTTGTGAAAATCCAATCTTATTCCATCAACCCACTTGTCAACATTTTGCTCATACCCTTATTTCTTGTACGTATAATATACCCAGCTGGGTTTCTCATTCAACTGGAGAAAAAGCTTTATAAGGTTTCCTGTCTTGGTCATTTTATTTGAGTACAGAGGACTACATTTTTCTCTTTCTTATTCTTCCTATATGATTTTCTGCATCCATCTCTCTTACTCTTGTAAGTGGAAAAGAGACAGTTTAGAACTTGCTGTCTTCCATTGGCTGTGATTACCCTGTGGCTTGGGCCATCAGCACTGTCAGTATTGCCTCATGTGGAGATCAGTCCTGGTTAGAACTTGTATGTATCCCTGCATGTTGAATTGTGTTTAATAGGATTATTGCTATTAAACTGTTTAGATTATTTCAGACACAGTCTTACAGAGTCAAGTTGAAGAAATTTCTATGCATTACCCGCTTTTTTTCCAAAATCTTCCCCTTTGTTATTTTCTGTCTACAAACCCAATTTTCGTTCTTTCGTCAGGTTATTCATAATGTGTTCATAAACTCAAAATCAATCTGTTACATGTTTCTGAAGAAAGTTCTCTTTTGAAATGTAATTCCCATTAGTTTGTTTCTTCCCATATTTACCATTTATACAGTTAATAAACTCAATCTATGTGAGCTTCTATTCAGTTTAAAACATATTACACAGGCGCAGCATATCTGAAATATTTTAACATGGTCCAAAATATATAAGATTAAAAAGGAACAGAGAATACCCCAGCAAACTATGTCACAAAATTAATGACGTTATTCCTCACAGGATTTAGAGTCTAGCCTCTCTACTGAAGAACTTATTGTAGGCATTGCTTTGCCATATTTGAAGAGAAGATGTTGAGAACTGTGGGAGGGTATTCATGGAAACAGCTATTCTTTCTCTGTGTAAAAATTTCATTCTTCAAAGACTTGACCATCAGATATCTTTGTAGGCATCTCTTAGCAGTTGCTCCTACAGAGCTGTGTTTTTATTCATGAACTGTCTTCAGGAATGACTGCAATTTAACTACTGTAAGTGGAGTTATTTTTTAGAGACCTGTTTGGCTGCCTAAACTTCAGGGCCTGATCCTGTAGTTTTATCCGATTAAATAGCTTTACTCTCATTTGACCTGTTTACATAGCTGTTAAGTGTTACTGGGGGCAGAAAATATTGATTAAGCCCTATTAAAACATTTCCTTTCTCCAGTAAAGGATTGGAGAGCCTCATTTTAATTTTCCTTTCACTACAAACCTATAATTCCATGTCTCTTTAGCAAAGTTTAATTTGAACTTTTGGCTCAATATTCAGGTGCAGTGAGACTGTTTGAGTACCACATGAATGAAAAACATCCTTTACTGCACATTGCATGGTATTCTCTCCCTGAAGCCCAATGGCAAGTGTTCTATACAAGCTGCATAAGCATAATTGTTTAAAACACCAAGCAATCATGGGTACCTTCTGGCCACATGGGATTTTGTGAGCACTGTGGAGGCTAGAACCACAGATACTCTCTGGAGCAGGATTTTCCTCTCTGTTCAAACTACCTTTTTTAACTGCTGGAGTTCTCTATTTGCATAATTATTTCACCTAATTTTTGTTCAGTGCTTTATCAGGGATTGGGCAGTGGTGGCTAGAAAAAAGGGTCAGTGTCTCTGTTTTTCATTTTTTACTGCCTCTGAAACCTAATTTGCAAACATATTTATTTGTAAATGAGGTAGGGTAAAGTTATAATCTTATACTCTGCTTTGCAATTCCAATACTACCTCTTGTGCTCCTGACTGAGTCTTGGTTGTGTTCAGTTTTCTTTATCAAATGTCTTCTGCTAGACTTTCTCTGGACAGTTAGTGTTAGCTGTGCCAAATTCTGAGATGTTTAGTAAGAAAAGCTAACACCTGCAACTAACAAGTTTGGGCAATCAAGGCCTGTGATTATTAATATTATGTATATTAATACATATAACAGTATTAATGTTAGCATGTTATAAAACATACTGAATAAGAAAACATTTATGATACTGAAATAGCTGAAGGACAGTAAAAATTCAGAGAATAAAAACCGAGGGTAGGGAAAAGTGGTGTGACATGTAACTCAGTAAAAATAGGGAAAAAAAAAAGGAAAAAAAAAGCTGTTGATCATTTAAAACCTCAGATTCTGAGAGTGCAGTCTTCCAAAGAAATCTTTAGAGGCCTCATTGTTTGAGGTACTTAAAA